CATTTTGTATAATGCTTGCTGCAAGTTTCCCACATGTTTCCTTTCTTATGATGAGTTATGATACTTCATTTTTAACCTCTTCAGGGTTTATAGCATGAAGGTAGGTTCTGGCTTCTGCAGTGGCTTTTCTATACCTATTGAAATGATCATCAGTGTTACTGGATTTATAGAATGTGTTTGGTAGGGTTTCTTCCTCTTCTCTTTCATGGATTACTTGAGAAGCATTGGTTTCCAGGCTCTTTACATGCTTGGTAGAAGTCAGTAGTAAATCCATGTTTTCTTTTAGACAGAATCTTTCTACTTCTTTGACTGATCCTTAGGAACATTTCTACTGGCTGTGCATATCACTCAGATGTAGAGTGCTGTGGTGAATTGCTATTTAAATGTCTTTTATTGTTTCATTCTCCCCACTCCCATGTCTGCTATTGACAAAGGCTGTGCTTGTTGTGGGAGTTTTCATGTAGAGAGGCACATTGGCTGCCTTCGAAGCCTTTTGGAAAGCTGCTGGAGAGAGTTATTTTTCTATCAAGGCTTCATTTTTAGGGGCTAGAAAAGCTTTCTAGTCAGCAATCATTCAATTGGAATTCCATTTTTACGTTAAATGTCTAATCTGATAAAAATAAGATGCAGAAGTCAATCAAAGCAGCATCTTATAAAAGGTGTTATTAGTTTTCCATTGCTATGACCCAAAAAATAATCTTTAAAAAGAAAATTTTACTTTGCCTTACAGTGTCAGTTCATAAGCATGAACCATTGGTTCAAAACCAATTTGTTTCCACCGTTCTGGTCCTATGAGTGCAAAGTATATTATAATGGGATCACAAGATAGAAGTGGTCCGCTTATGTCATTCTCATCTGAAAGAGAGCTGGAAGGGAAGAGAGAGTGAGAGAAATATAGAGGAAATGAGAAGGAATGAAGAGAAGAAATACTGACAGAGATAGATAGATAGATAGATAGATAGATAGATAGATAGATAGATAGATATTGATAAAGAGGAGAGACCTTAATTATTGTTTCCATTCCCACTTAAGAAATGGGAAGAATAAGCTTATTTCATACTGTGTTACTCTTCCACTATCATTTACAATGCATCTTTTATTTTATCCAGCTGTTGAAAGGGACAAGCAACTTATGACAATCTCAGGGCATTGTAGGGTAGGCTTCAAAATTTAGTAGTGTCATTTGACTTCATTACTTTTTTAAAAAAATAATTTATTTAATTTTATTTTATGTGCATCAGTGTGAAGGTGTCAGATCCCCTGGAACTGGAGTTACAAACAGTTGTGAGCTGCCATGTGGCTGCTGGGAACTGAACCCAGGTATTTTGGAAAAGCAGACAGTGCTCTTAACCACGAGCCATCTCTCCAGCCCCGACTTTGGTACTTTTTAAAAAACTTTTTATTGATCCTTTGTGAATTTCCCATCAGGCACCTCAATCCCACTCATCTCCCCTTCCCTTTGTACCTGCCATCTACTCTTGCATCCCCAGTAAAATAACATAGAATAAACAAACAGACAATCAAAAACCATCATGTTGTGGAAGTTATAGTGGGTCATAGTGTAACGTATAGTATACCCTTTTGTCCATGCCTTTACTTGCAAATGTTCATTGCAATGAGTCATTGTTCTGTCTTGAGGCCTCTAGTGTCAACGTTATTTTTATATAATCATATTTGTTTTTCAATTTCTCTCTTAACCCAGCTATCACCCAAATATTACATTATTTGTTTATCAAGCTTCACAGGACAATCCTGAGCAGTTTCAATCTGCTGTTAACCCTCTGTTAGTCTGACTCCCTCTTTGCCAAAGTTCCTGAATTGCTTGACTTTTAGTGCTTTCTCTGCTCCAGCTAAATATGCCTCATGTTTTTTAGACCTCTGCCCATGGCTGAATCCCTTAACTTCCCTTCTAACTCCTCCTCCCGTGGAGGGCAGGAAGTCCAACCTTATTTTCTTCCTTACTCAGTCATTTACTGAAAGCTACTTTATTGGCATATCAGGGGACAATAGGAGAGCAGTGTTTACACAACATTGAGACAGAAGATTCTCAGAACAAGAATTGCAACCAGATATGGGGGACTATAGAAATCATCATTTGAATTATAAAATAACCTTATGCCTACACTCTGCTTCTGCTATACTATTAATACTAGATCCTCATAGGGACTCTTCTCAGATGTTTTTATTGTGTGCTTGGATTCAGTTTGTGATTATTTTATTGTTTTTACATCAATGGTCATGAGTGAGATAGGTCTAAAATCTCGTTTTTGAGTATTTGTGTGGTTTAGGTATCAGGATGACTGTGGCTTCATGAAATACGTTTGGCATTTTTCTTTTTGTTTATTTTTTTGTGGAATAGTCTGAGTGTATTGGTATTAGCTCTCCTTTGAAAGTCTGGTAGAATTCTGTGCTGAAACCATCTGTCTCAGGGCTTTGCTTAGTTGGGATACTTTTAATGACTACTTCTATTTTCTTAGGGATCATATGACTATTTAAATTGCTTACCTGATCCTCATTAAAGACTTCTCTCATCTTGATAAGCATAAACTTATGGTCATTTTCTTGCATTTCAGTTGTATTAGGATATCCAGGACTTGCAGTAGTAGGATAGCTACATTCTAGTGATGTTATATTGCCCTGGCTCTTGTTTATCGTGTTATTACAGTGGTCTTTAGCCACCTAATAGTTCCTGGTGTTGGCTGGGTATTTCTGGTGCCTGCTGGACTCTCCGGGAGGCAGTAGAGCCCTGGGCCAGAGATTGGATGTTCCTTGGGCCCCAGGCAGCTCTCCTCAAAATTCAGGTAGAATTATGTGACAGAGGATAGAACTTAGGGAATAGCTCACACATCTCCACTGCTGGCATGTCCCAGCTGGACCCACAGGTAGGGGATCGGGGTAGGGGTAGGGGTCAAATATGGGTGTTTCTGGGGCCCAGCAGCCCTCTTTGGGAGGCAGGAAGAGCTGTGGGCTAGAGGCTGGAATAAGGTGTCCCTTGCCCCTGCATTTGTTATTTCAATAATAATTAAACTCCACATTCTGTCTCTCATTCATTTTAGGTCTTGTGGTCATTTTTTTCCTTTCGTTTCCTACCATAAGTTCATTGTTATAGAAAGACAGCTCACTAATCCCATTTTCAAGGACGTCTATCATTGAAATTACCACACACTCTCACTTGCTTTGAGACAGTTGATGGATTGCAATACCCTCAGTTATCATGCTTTTGACACTGAGGACATGGACGTTAGGGATCATAGCTGAGAGTTTGCGTGTTATAATTGTTGATCTTGTTTAGAATGTCTGCGTGTATCGACAGGTTGATTGTTAATAAAGAAAATTACTCATGGTCTTGAAAGCAGGAAAGAATTGCATCCTATTCTTTAGATAAATTAGTTCTAATGCATTTGACATTCTTATCTACTCTGTATGTATATGGAAAGGATAAAAAGAAAACTTGGTAGAAAGCTAATAGAGAGGTCAGCAGTTATGCAGATTTATGGCTGGGAAGTGAGAGTCCTCTGAATCAGTTGGTAGGTAAACTTTTTTGAGCCATTTTTGTTTTTATGATAATGGGAAAAACAAGCAGAGACTGAAAGGAGGCCACAAAGAATAGACCTGAGAAATAGGAGACTTTAGCCAGAGATGCTTTCATGATAAAAGACATTTTATCTTTTGAGATACCAATTTATAATAATCTTACACACTCATTAGAGTGTTCCAGGAGAGAGGAGAGAGGTACATTGAGAGCTTTAGAAGCTCATAATACTACTGTGTACAGACTTTCCATTTCTTCTGATCTTCTTCCCAATTGTAACCGTATCTCATGAGTGGAAATCCTCTGGCAACGATCATGGAAATGAGCAGTTCTTATAAACTTTCTTATAAACCTTCTTTCTTTTGGATATTCATTAATATGACATTGTCACAATTGGAAGAGATTAGAAGCATCAGAGAACAAGGGAAAAGTACTAAGCGGTGTACAGATGAAGTTAAAATTAACCAGGAGGAGCCTTGTTAGACTCTGGGTTAAGATCACATGTGGTCATGCCTAAGATGATGCTGAGTCGATGAGAATCCACAGAAGCGTAGTCGAAGATAGTCCTTGGAGACACCTAGAGCCATTTCTTTTTAAGATAATAACACTTTCTAGACTGACAATTTCATGGAACCTATGGACACTAAAGTGCATTATACTTGTAGTTTTTTTGTTTTTTTTTTTTCCCAGAGCAATGTGAAAATTGGCTCATGGTGCATGCTGGCACCATAAAGTATCCTGTTCCTTCCATGTAGGGTAGGTCTGATTGAATGCACCAAAGGGAAATGGTAAACTTACAAAATCAAGATCCACAAATGATATTTCAGAGACAACACCAAAAACACAAAAACATCCCTCTTGGGAGAGCTGACATTAGCTTCTCTAATGTTCTTTGATCAAATTGATGTCTTCAGTCAAGTAACAACTGTTTTTGTAAAGACACGCTCTTTCTGGGACCAGATGCATGTCAAAGATATGTGTGGGCATTTTGTATCTAGTTTTTACATAACCAACATGTCTATGGTTCCCTCTTCAAAACATAAAAAATCTATATTGTTGGCTGAAGGAAAGAATTTTCTGTTCTTGGTGGAATAATATCTCACTCCTAGAGTCTGCTGGCTTCCTTTGCATTAATTCACAGTGTTTCTGAGTCTAGTTGTGTCATATATTATTTTCAAGCAATGTACATCACTTATGGCAGATTTTGATAAGACTACCTCAATGCTTATCAAACTATTTTTAATGTTTGCTAGTAAATGAACAAAAGAAATTTTTACAAATTATTCTTTTCCAACACAATATTTTTTAAAGCATTAGTTTTTAATACCTAAACAAGAGTTCCTTAATTCATAAGTAGCAACTGAAAAGGTATATATACAGTTAACAAAAATATTCAGAGGAATGAGCAATTATAGCACTATTGCATCCCAACTTTTTCTGAGCATTTCAGAACAGATATGGTGTAGACCTAGCATTTTCTGGGGACTAATTTGCATCTCAGGATCTTGACATGATTGGCAACCTTTTGAGCATCACATTTCAAGCAGGCAAGCAGGGTATGATAGAAATACAGGCGAGAGGGCTTATTTAACAGAAGTAAGGATGGAAGTCTAGATGAGTCAGGGTAGTCCTTATTTTCCTCAGATTCAAGACGAACCTAATCACCAAACAAAAGCATTTATTAATTGTGCTATTAATAATTATTCCCCTACATTGCTTTAAAATGTTGAATAAATATTTGGCAGACACTTAGTAAAGAAAATCTTGAGCCCAATATATAGCTTTTCATGATTCTGGAGCATAGTACTCTTAGTTACCTAAAAACTAGACAAAAGACCACACACATATCTTTGACATGCAGTTGGTCCAGATGGGAGTATGTCCTCACAAAAAATGGACAGAAGTTGCTACTTGACTGAAGACAAGGATTTGATCAAAGAACAGTAGAGAAGCTAGCATCAGCTCTTCCAGGAAAAGACATTTTTTTGTGTGTGTGTCTTAGATATTGTCTCTGAAGTACCATTTATGCATCTTGATTTTGCTAGTTCGCCATTTTCTTTTTCTGCTTTCAATCAAATCTGTCTATCCACTACTATATGGAAACAAAGTCACGGAATGATGGGGACTGCACATGTGGTTAGGATGCAGACTGACCAGGAATGGTGTGATAAGATCTACTGAATTCTCAAGAGAACTTCACTCTGCTCAGAAAAAGTACTGCAAGAACTACTGTGAGAAGTTGCTGCCTCCTGAGAGCTCTGTGTCAGGTGATGCTGAGTAAAACCCTTGAGAAAGGTGGAGTGCCCAACAACCTCTTAGGCATGAGGGGATGTATGAGCATGCCTGTATTTCACTCTCCCAGAAGAGAGATAGTTCAAATGCATTTGTCTTTACCAAATAGCAGCTTTCATGTCAAAACCAGAGTAGTGAAAATCAGGAACGTACCAGGCTGAGTAATGACTTGACATCCTTTAGTAGTGCTGTGAGTCCTGTGAATTTTTCAGTTATCTCTCTGACTTTAGATACGAAAGCTCCCACACCAGGAATTGACTCCACATCAGTAATGTCTGCTACTACGTCCCTCAGGGTGCTGTTCCAACCAATCAGCATACTTATAGTCACTTTCAAAAGGACCTCAGGCTAGGCAAAGACATTGAGTATCACATTAAGCAAAGAACTGCAGATTGAATTTCATGCAACACTTAGTGTATTGTTTGTAGCTTGACTTATACAATTTTTGTGGATCTTTTGCTGCAGTGTCAGCATTTGCTTTGTGAGTACCTAGACACTGAATAGCTCTTAACAGACATTCTCTTTCTTTACTTTTTCTCATGATTACAATTACTTATGTACATAGCTGATATGCAGAATGTGCATAGCAGGTTACAAAATCATTAAAAAGAACAAATTATATATGTAGGCATAAGGTTGTTGTGTAATTCAAATGCTGATTTCAGTATCCCTCATACCTGGTTTCAAGCCTTGTTCTGAGAATCTCCTGTTTGATGTTGTGTAAATTCTGCTCCCTACTGGTCCCCTGATATGTCAATAAAGCAGCTTACAGCCAATCACTGAGAAGGGTAGAAACTAGGGCTGGACTTTCTGCCAGCCAGGGGAGGAGGAGTTAGAGGATAGGAAGTGGGGAATTCAGTCATGGGAGAGGTCCAGGTAAGGTCAAGAGAGAGGAGCTGGAGCAAAAAAAATACAAAGTGCAAGTATTCTAGGAGGTATACTGGGAGGAAAGCAAATTAGCGTAGAGGATTAAGAATAGAGTAATGTCTGCTCAGGTATTGCGTTGTGGAGTGTATTATAAACAAATATAATAGAGTCTCAATTATTTGTGTGAATGCCAGGTAAAGAGAAAAGGCAAGAAACACAAACACAGTTTTATAGAAATAACTGTAACATATATGTGTAGCGTGTGTGCACATTTGATGATTTTAAATTTAAGAGAGTAACATTTATATCAAGGAATACAATGAGAAGGTTATAATAGTTACTATTTAGAAGTTTATAATATTTTAACCTTGCATTAGAAGCCATATTTTCATCTCGTGAAACACATTAAATATTTCACAAGATATACTTCTAAAGACCCAGAAGAAAGCAGCAATATCAAATGATAATTGTGTTTTCCCATGTATTTCTCATTTTCCCTTTCTTTCATCTTTCTTTCCTTCCTTCCTTCTTTCGTTCCTCCCTCCCTCCCTCCCTCTCTTCCTCCCTCCCTCCCTCCCTCTCTTCCTCCCTCCCTCCCTCCCTTCCTCTCTTCCTCCCTCCCTCCCTCCCTCCCTCCTTCCTTCCTTCCTTCCTTCCTTCCTTCCTTCCTTCCTTCCTTCCTTCCTTCCTTCTCCTCCTCCTCCTCTTCCTTCCTTCCTTCCTTCCTTCCTTCCTTCCTTCCTTCCTTCCTCTCTCTCTTTCTCTATCTCTCTCTCTCTTTCTTTTTTCCTGTAATGAGCTCCAGCTTGGCAGCTCCAGCTTGGAACTGCTTCAGTTGATTTGATGAGAAAATTACACTGAGAACTCACCTGAATCTTTTGGTCTTGTGTTGTTTTATCTGGAACAGGGTAGGAATATTTGTAGCATAGCTGGAGGATTTTTTCCTTGTAGTTCATACGTAAACCACACAATTTTTTCTTGAAACAATGAGAACATTCGGTGAATTGGGGGAACTGAGTTAAAGAATCCATGACTATACATTAATGTGTTTGGCCTATGCTTACAAGTAAAGGATGAGTAGTACATAAAATATATAAATTTAGAAATGAGGAAAATGAAGCTTTAGTGTAGTCAGTGCATTAAATTTGTAATCTCACTTTCCAGCTACTATTTCAGCCTATTAACTTCTCTGATTTATTATTCTATTGTTATTTCATGCTTTCTAAAAAATTTGAAAAGAAGAAGGATAAAACAAAACTACAAAACACTATTGTTTTTTAAAGGAGCTCTTTCCTAGATTATCAGTGGCACAGTGAATACATATTTGTGTTTGGGAACTCTTGGCTTCCTGTAATTACAGTTATTCCTGAGTCTTTATACCTTGACTATAGCAATTGCCTCAAAACTTCAAAGTACAATTTGTTGGCTGTAATGGTATCAGTCATAGAAACTCAAGCATAATATTTTTAGGAATATTATACAACAAAAAAACCTAAAATATAGATAATATGCTTAATGTTTACATATTAGTATTTTGACATTACATTCATTCAATAAATTACTTAAAATTCATATTACTTAAATTTTATAGTGAATTGTAAAGATTAGTTAAGAACTGTAAGAATTACTAGAGATCCTGACAAATTGAAAGATACTCTGTCAAGATTGCAGAATGGAAGAATGTTCAGTGATCAAGTAGACAATATGAATGTTTTTATCATACATATGAAGAGTGTATATTGCAAGTTCATTACTGTTTGAAGTTCTTGTCTACTGTTTTCATTTAATTGACTTAGAGGGGACACCATGTGACCCTCACAACACCTTAATCAAGAAGGTAAGGTCTATTTTCAGTTGTAGATTTTCTTTAGAGTGATAAGCTCACATCTTACAATGTTTCCCAAGTTTATGGATTTCTGAGAAGCTATTATTATTACTATTATCATTATCTGTTTTCTCCTTCCAATATTATTTCTCTCATTTTAATTCCTAATTCAAGCCATCCCCTATAACCATGTGCTTTACTGGTTACTTGCTATGCACTAAGTGAAAAATGATGATGGAGTGTGGCTCTCAGCACACCTAGAAGAAAGGCAGAGATTCTTTTCAGCCATATATTTGAGGGTGACTTATTTTACAAGTGAAAATATTTTAATTAAAAAATAATTAAAAATATAAAAATACTTTTTAGAAGAAAAAAAAATCACTTAAAGACGTTTCCCCCATAAATTTTAGAGATTTCATTAAACCGTTCCATTCTTCTGGTTCTGTTTCAGTGACAAACGGTTCCTTGTGCCTGTGAAGGTGTGTGATATAATGTTTAGATCACAGTGCCCCTCCACTGAGCTGCTGTACTGCCCACATACTGTTGTGAAAGCTTCACTTGGGAGAAGCCAGAAGTGACTGAGTACTTACAAACTCATTGAAGGTTCCTGAAATGAGGCGTTTGGTGTTCTTAGATAGGTCATGTGCCTGATCAAACAGGTACTCGAGAGTCAGCTGGCATTGCCCATTTACTGCTTCACACATGGGCACAGGGGCCACATTCTCCCACAGAAGCAGGTTTGACAATAGCACCAGCAGGAGTGTCCCTGCCATACAGAAAAAAAAAGTCACTTACATGGTTTATCAGTGTGAAGTTACAAGCATCATCCTGTCTAAGGAATCCTCATCTACCCACAGTGCCCTCCCTCCCACAGTTTAGTACATTGAGCTAACTTGGAAGAACAAACATCCACTATGAAAATGACCTCCATGCTTTGTCCTTCATGATGTGATAAGACAAGGTGCTAGGACCTCTGCTCTGATCACACCCACCTTTCAGACTTGTACCAATGATCTGTGCTGACTTCATCATCAATGTGCTTTTGGCAGATAGAACTCTAAAACATTAGTTATTTGTCATTTCATGAGGAAAGGTCACATTAAAAAGGCCTTTTAAACATTAGTAACACCACCCCAGAGGACTTTCAGAAATAAATATATGAGGATCAAGCTGGGTTGTGGTAGGTAAAATGTTTGCCATAAGGTATGAAGACTGGAGTTAAGGTCCCCAGAAGCTAAGCAAATGCCTGGAGGGAGCTCAGGCCCTAGATTTGTTCAGCCTTCCTAAAATCCAGTGACAGGAAATCTGGATAGGAAAACTAGCTTTAAAGGTAAGTTGTGATTATAGTTGAGATGTTTCAATGAATAAGCTGTACTATCTATTAAAGAGGATTCCTGATGTGAACCTATAGCCACCAAGGAATACACACATACATGAGAAGATATGTACATGCACACATAATACAAATGCGTATACATGAAAACAAAAATGTGCACCCACCTATAAAAACTAAAACAATAACAACAAAAAGACAAAACCAAACCTCAAAACAATATTAAAAAAAAAAAACCCGTGAGACTCAGAAACCAAGTTCCACAGAACCATTGATGGATGTGATTTGAAATATTCAAACAAGAAGAGGTAATTGATAAGATTAAAGCATAAGAAATAGCTAATCTCAAACTCCCAAAATAATTAAATAGATCAGAGTGTTAATAGATCCAGTGTTAAAATTATTAACCAAACATTTTAAAATATAAAATAAAATTCTTACCATATCATCTCAATTTTTTCAAAAAAAACATGATGATTCTATGAATTTATTTCATGCTTGATAAACACAGACCACTATTCTATTGCTTATTGAAGAGATATATAAATTCAGTTATGTTATAGTTTTTGCTGTTTAACATTTTATAAAATAAGTTTAGTTGCTACAAATTTAGTTTTTTATATTTCTTTTATTTTTATTTTTTAGTTTATAACATATAATTTCACCTCCACATCCTTCCCTCAAACTTTCCATGTACCCTTCCTTGATTTCTTTCAAATTCATGGCCTCTCTTCATTAATTGTTGTTACATACATATATGTATGTTACACACATAAATGTTTTGTTATATTATCAATAACATGAAAGCAAAAGCTTGATATTAGCATGCCTTTTTTTTTTTTTTAAATCATTTGGCTTGAGCCACCTTCTTAAGACAATATAAGAAACATATCTGGAGATAACCCAGAATCCCTGCACAGATGTAGCCCAATGCAGCTCAGTCTCCCAGTGGGTTCTCTAGTAAGGGGAACAGGAACTGTCACTGACATGAACTCAGTAGCTGGTGTTTGATCACTTCCCCTTGATGGGGGACCAGCCTTACCAGGCCACAGAGGAAGACAATGCAGCCAGTCCTAATGAGACCCGATGGGCTAGGGTCAGATGGAAGGGGAGGATGACCTCCCCTTTCAGTGACTGGGGGAGGAGCATGGGAGGAGAGGAGGGAGGAAGGGTGAAATTGGGAGGGGATGAGGGAGAGGGCTGCAGCTGGGATAAAGTGAATAAATTGCAATAAATAAAAATAAATTAATTTAAAAAAGAATAAAAGTGGAAAGAAAAAAATAAGACACATATCTGCTAGGGTTGTCTGCTTCAGACTGGGACTAAAATTTCATTAGGTTGACTCAAGTTAGTCAGTCTATAGCACTGACCTGGGACTAGAAAATTTTACCTGTTTCCTTCTGGAATAGTGACAAATTGGACCTATGGGCTTTTGTGTTCTCATGCAGATAAATTTTCATTTTAAGATGGATCATTCCTTGTCTTGAGGCTGTCCTGAGCATTTGAGATTGTGCCAAGATCTCCCTAGCTTCTACACAAGGATATCAGCAATACAGATATCTTGTTCTCCCTTCTTCAATCAAAACAACACAAACTCTAGAAATTACATTTCTCTGGAACAAGGAAGTTTCCTTTTAGCACCGTAAGGTTCCTATGTGTCTTGTGCCTTACATAGCAAAGATTATAATTTTTCCTAAGTATTTCATAAAATCAAGAAAAGTATATTGTGCAAGCATAGCTTCTTGTAAAATTATGAATTCATTTGGCTTGGAAGAGCCTAAAGAAATACTTACAGTAGTGGGGTTGAGTCAAAGACAGCTGCATCTCTGAAAATTCTCTGCAGTGTGGATACCAACCGAGAAGATCTACTTCCCTTGAAACCTGCCTTCAGTTAATTTTCCACCACCTACACCGTCCATCAGACTACTCCAATACGTGTGTAGACTTGGGCTGCAGGAGGAAATAATATTCGGAATCCCAGGTGAGAGTTCCATGACTCTAAGTCCTGTGGGAGTGTTAACAGTCTCATCACCATCACCTCAGTCCCCATTACATCTATACTGTTTTTCTTCCTTCTGTACATGGCGTTTTGTTAGGTCACAGAGCAGCACTCTCAGATGTCACTGCAGAGGACTGTAGCAATTTCCTAACACTTCACTCTTTCTCTCAGGCTCTTACCCTCTTCTGACTATTCTTCATTGTGGAGTGATGCTTGTTTGTCAAGCTGTTTTGTTACTGAGTATTCAGAGAAAAACATGTTTCACCCTGGCCTTCAGCTTAAGATAGATATGCAGGATGTTTCTCCAAGTTTCTCAAACTTATTTGTGTGACCTTGGGCCATATCTACTACAGGGAAGTGGTTTAAGAAAACAAGTTTGGCGGTTCTATGAACTTCTTTCATGTATTGGTGTGACTTGTTCTTGTTTTGCCTATAAAAAGGAATTGTGGAGTAAACTTGTGGCTGCAGTTCTTACTGACAGTCCTCTGGAGCTAACAAATCCCGTGTTATTTATTTCAATCCTCACTCCCGACTCAGGAACTGTTCCACTCTACTGGCAGGTTCTAGCTCTTGAGCAAAGTTTCCTGATTAATAAAATATGTGATAATTTTTTTTATTCCTTTATGAGCTTTAGGATACCATGTCATAGTAATATTAATGTAATACCATCATTTTTTTGGTTATGACTCTCTCTCAGTAACCACCAACCATTGTGGAATTGGTCTTTGCTACTTAGGCTGACCTCAGTCATGTGTAATATAAATGTATTTGAAAAGTTCATAGGCATGTCACATATGTTTATCAAAAATGACCGTGTAAGCCTCCTCTGTGGGGGAAGGCTAGGACTTCTCCAGCCGCAGATTTTGGCATGGCTTAGAATACACTACATGGATTCCTATTTTGAACAAGTCTTTAAACAAATCAGAAAGTGGCTAGTTGGCTGTTTCCGTGAATGTTGTGCCACTATTGGAATAGCAGTTGTATTTTGCCTGGCTTTGGGACTGTGTTACCACGCAGTTGAGCAGGTCATTTCTTGACACTTGACCCAGTATCCAGCATATTATACTTTGATGTTATCAAATCAGCTGTGTGTAGAGAGAATCTCTTAGGCAATGTGTGAAAGTCTCACTTGTCAGTAAAAAGCTGACGGCCTATTAGCTGAGGCAGGAAATAGAAGGTTGGACATCTGGCAGAAAGAGAGGATTCTGGAATAGAATCAGGCATGGGGGAGATTTACCCCAGTCTCATGAGGAAGACGGCTGCATGAAACTTAGTAGAGGTAACTAGCCATGTGGAAGACACAGAATAGAATTAAAGGCAATATAAGTTATGAGGCAGTCCGTAAACTAGCCAAGGCTTATTATAGCTTAAGCTTTTATTATAAATAATAAGTTTCAAAGTCAATGTTTTGGGAACTGGAGCGCAGGTGGAAAAGCACGTGTTTACAAATGTCAGCGCACTGAATGTCAGGCTAGAATCTCAGGCATAGAGCCTGAGAGGCCACCGGGAAGGATATTTTAGCACTCTACTCTGCGGCAGCAAGCAGTTAGCTTCGTGAGCAGAGCAGCTTAAGATAGCGGGGCCAGGAAATCGTGGAGCAGCCCACCGAGGAAGTACAGGCCCCTTACCAGCCACAGTGCAGCAAGGCAGGCCTGCTGCAGGGAAGGCCGGAAAGCGAGCCAGGTAGCCTTGGGAAAAACACAGCCCAGTTTGAGTCCACATTAGAGAAGCCCTAGCACACTACAGCCAGGAGTTGGGGTCAGAGGACAAACCATGGCTCCAGCCCAAACTGCCAAGGGCAGTCTGCTAGAGTGAGCTAAGGGGATGGATTTATCCACCATAGCCACATGCTGGCTTGAGGAATCTGCAGATGCACAGACTGACTGAAGACAAGAAGAAATCCAAAGTAACCAAACTTCTAACCAGGTAAAAAACATTTGAAGTTGTGCTTTTATGCCAAAGAGGGAAAGAGACTGAATATAAAACATCATAGTAGTTTGAAATTGGTGGTCTTTCAGGGGAGAGTTAAGAGATTTTAAAAAGTTATTTTTTTCTGTGTTAAAAATGGAGGAAAACATAATGACACAATTATTTTGCTTAGCTTGCTAGCATAAAAATAATTATAATTTCAATAATGATTGTAATTTTATATCTCCTTTTAAAGAGAGATCAGAATAAAACATTTTTAATTTTTAATTTTATTTTTTCACAATTTATTCATTATATATCCCAATTGAAGCCCCCTCCCTCAACTCCCCCCAGTCTCACTCTCTCTATCTCCCCCCGCCCCCTTCCGCTAGTCCACCAAAAGGGGGAATTCTCCACCATTGCCATCTGCCCATACCTTGTTAAGTCTCATCCAAACTGCCTGGATCTTCTTCCTCCATGGCCTGGGAAGGCCATAACCAGGGGCAAGTGATCAAAGAGCATACAACCAAGTTCATGATAGAGGCAGACCTTGCTCCTCTCACTTGGAGATCCACACGGAGACTGAGCTGCCAATTGGCTACATCTAAGTAGGGGATCTAGGTCCTCTCCCTGCTTGGTCCTCAGCTGATGCATCAGAAGAACATTTGTGCAACTATGTTCATGGCAGCTTTATTCATAATAGCCAGAATCTGGAAACAACCTAGATATCCCTCAATGAAGGAATGGAAACAGAAATTGTGGTACATCTACAAAATGGGATACTACTCAACTATTAAAAACAAGGGAATTATGAAATTTGTAGGCAAATGGATGGGACTAGAAAAGATTATCCTGAGTGAGGTAACCCAGAAACAGAAAGACAGGCATAGTATATAATTACTTATAAGCGGATATTAGCCATATAATACAAGATACATCTACAGACCTGAAGAAACTAAACACTAAGGAGGGCCCTAGGGAGGATGCTTGAATCTCATCCAGAATGGTAAACAGGATAGACACCAGAAGTGGTGGAAGAGAGGAAACAGGATGCGAGCCTGCTATAGAGGGTCCTCTGAAAGGCTCCACCCAACAGGGGATCAAGGCAGATGCTGAGGCTCATGGCTAAACTTTGGGCAGAGCACAGGCAGTCTTATGGAAGAAGAGGACTGTGGGGATAGAGGGACATGGAGGGTATAGGAGTCCCACAAGGAGACTAAGAAAGCTAAAGGATCTGAGCCCACAGAGTACTGCAGAGACAGAATAAAGAATACTTGGATATGCTTTTATCCAATAGAATAAAACCTAGCATTTTATCAACAGAAAGCATTTTATCCCACAGAAAGACTGTGGGATAAAATGCTAGGTTGAGGCCATAGAACAGAGGTTAGAGGACTCTTTAAATCTGAATAAAAAAAATCCTCAAAAGGACCTAATCTGGAATCTTCAATAACAGCAAAAGGGGTGGTTCTAGATGAGAAAGATCCACAGTGGCTTAAAGAATTAGAATGGCAATCCATAAAGATGCAATGTATTTAGTTAAGGGTACTGATTATATTTGGTGCTGCCTTAGAGCAAAGTCATACAGTAGCTTATGTGATTCATTTTGTACAGTTTGAAAATCTAAGCTATGCATATGTGTTGATACATATTATTGATACACATTTAGAATCCCAATGGGCTTCTGCCTTAAGCTCTAAAAGAGATGATTCTGATATTGCACATTTATTAGAGATGATGGCTATCTTGTAAATTCTGTTATAGACTGAAGCTAATGATGCTTCAACATGTGCATCCACTAAAATAAAACATTTTTTTAGACGTCATGCATTGAAAATGTTACAGCTTTACCTTACAATTCTACACATCAGTCATGAATAGATCTAACAGGACTTTAAAGGAAATACGCATAGAACAGAAGGGCAGTATGCGATCTCCCAGAGATAGATTACATAATGCTTTATTGACTTTAAATTATTTAAATGTCAATGAGACAGATAACACAGCTGTTAAAAAACTACTAGAGTTTAGAAAGGACTGTTTAATTACTTATTATAAGAATGTCTTAACTTCAGAATGAAACGTAGGAAATATGTTATGTTGGTAAAGAAATTCTGCCTTTGTTTCAATAGAAGAAAAATAACTATTGATTCCATCCAAATTGATACAAATCAGGTTTGACCACGGGGGGGGGTAGTTAGAGGGAGACCCTTGAGGATCTTAGCTGCATACAGGAATAAGAATAAGAATAAGAATAAGAATAAGAATAAGAATAAGAATAAGAATAAGAATAAGAATAAGAATAAGAATAAGATTAAAAGAAGAAGAATAAGAAGAAAAGAAGAAGAAAAACAAGAAAGGTAAAGTGTATGCTGATCCCTGTACATGGGAACATCTCCAGCTCTGAGACTGGATGAGACATAACAATATCTCCATCTAAAACTTCAGCTTTGCATAACCAATAAATCTTGGTTACAAAATCCTTTGGACTCTTCATGCCATGCTTTCATATGGCATGATAAAAATTTATATAACAGTTTGGTTATACAGTCTAAATTAACATAAAGAAAGACAGTTGCCTTTCAACTACCCATAAAAAGCAGAGAATCATTTTTAAATGATCTGTGCACACTGCACATTCCATACATAAGTTATTGCAGAAATGTATTTTATCTGTGAGAATGTATATGTTTATAGAATAAAAGGGACCAGAAAACAATGGAACTGATGCAGCCTTGACAAGATTCACCCTTGAGGATGCTGAAACATATTTATTCCAACACCCTTGATCTAACATCAGACTGCCTTAATAGCTTAATCAAAACTTGCTTCTAGGACAGGTTCAAAGTAAGCTGCTGACCTTATTTGGTACAGCCTTTCAGACTGTTCCATTCAGGGCTTTATTTAAGCCCGAATT